TAACGTTAACATCTGCCACAATCTGCACCGCTACGGCGGAGAATGGGTAATTGTGTCTGTCTCTTAAACGACCGTCAGCAGCGTCCAAGCCACATGACAAACTTCCTAACTCGAACATCCCCCAGCACAGGAATACACGTTCATGCTGAGAAAAAGGCATGAGGGGCGCAAGATCGCTCCAAACACGCAACTTTGTGGTGAAAACATGAGTCTGAAGACTTCTGCTGGAAGTCCGAGAAGGGAAGCGGTGGCAGTGGTGGCGGCAAGGTCGGTCCACATCACCTTAGTGAAGCAGGAGAATAGTTTCCCCATCGTGGAACCAAGGTAAACAAGTTTTTTAGCCAGAAGTCAGCAAGAGAAGCAATGGATAGAGTCTAGGTGTCTTGAAATGCAACCCTATAGCTCAGCCATGCACCTCTAGATCACGCCTACTCTACCTGCCAAACTCTGCAAGTCTCATTTTAAACAGAAACTAGAATTTTTTACAAATTGTTGTTGATTACATGAAGCAGCTATAATTGTAACATGCATATCTAACTTAGTGAGGCTGAATTTTATTGTTTTCTCCCTTACGTTCCCGTTAACCCAGAAGGGGACTGCAGTCATTTTTAGGTTCGCAAACCAGAACTGACATAGGAGCTGTTGCTTCTCCTGCCAGTGGGTGTCTTTCCTTTAGCACTAAGGCGGGAACAAGGCTGCGGATTTCTCTGAAAAACACGAGTGGCATTTCAGCTGAACCGGTCATAAGGTTTGTTTCGGAACAAACACCTCTGCTTTTTCAGATGGGTTGCTAAAAGAGACCGTTTCAGGCACTCTGCAGACTCTGGAAGACATTGACCTTTCCTTCCTTGGACTCAATTCGCATTTTTCACTTCATGGTCATGTGGGATTATTATCTGTAATTGAAAGTAAAAGTGTAGATTTTGCTCAAGAACTCAATTACATGGCAAATTCTGTGGCTGAGGAACTACAGAATATATTCAGTCCTTATTAAATGTTATTTCTGAAATGAATGTTAATTAAAGAAGGCTGAAGATACAGGCTGGCTGGCTGAAGACAAACAGAACAATCTCAGACCGTTGCAATGACAGTGTTTCCCCCAACGGAGACAGAACGGATGGCTAGTCTTACTCAGATTGCATCTCTTGAGAGGACGATTTATAATGTACAAGACAGGAGAAATTTATTTGCTAACATATGGAAAACATTTATGGGCTCTACTGAGGATCTGGAATTAAAGAAACACAACTACATATTGTTAAAACTTCTAAACGGAGATTTCATTTTAGAAATAAGCATTTTTCCCCTCAAGTCAGTGACATTTATTTCTATACACTTTTGCTTTCTGCCCTGTCAGGTATCAGTTTCCGAACAGGGGTTCGTATAGATTCATCTACTTGCTGTAGGTCTAATCCACAGGAAAATTATTACATGGCAAAGTCCCGCTTTTAAAGATGTAACTCATGCTTCAAAACAATGGATGTGCCGTAGGGATGGGGCAAGGTACTGCTGCCCAAATTGTTGTCTCAGCACCGCAACTTACAGCGATGGAGGAGATAAGGCTACCGACACTGGTGATGCTTCCCAAGCAAAGGCTCCCGCAGCCACAGCTGCAGATAATTCACCCCCTTAAAAACAAAAACAACCCCCACCTTCTGGTACAAGAAAATGATCCTCCATTAAGCCACACAAGACCACAGCCTGAGGGAGAGCTCTGCCTTCTGAGGCAAACCTTCTCTTCCCCATGTAAATAACTTGCTGGATGCCCGGAAGGGTTGCGTACTGGCTGACGAATAAACGAAACGTATGATGTACGAGTTGCACGCACAAAAATATGCACACAGTCATCATCTCACAGAGCCGTATTGAAGCTAACAGGATCAGGGACACTATAAAAGCCCCGCGCCAATCGATATCCAACAGCCGTATCAGGGTCAGTGCTTATAAGTTATAACGAGGGTGGTTGTTTTAAAGCCGGTACTATTACACTGGTGCAAACATCAGTGCTGACGTGCAAGATAAAGCTGGGGTGGCCATCTGTAAAGCAGTGTAAGAAATGTGAAGTTTTGGACCGCTGTGGTTGAACAGACTGTAACATCTTCAAGGAGGGGCAGGACCTCAGGCCAAATATTTGAGGCAGCGGCGACGGCTGGGATTTTCAGAGATGGGTAAGTGACTGATTAAAATGACTCAATCATGCAGATGCTTTTGAAAATTCTGCCGCACGCAGTTAGGTTTATTCATGCATGTGTGGGAGAGGGGGAGGACTGTGAAGATTTTAATAACTACTTTAGGAAATAAAAAAGAACAAATGTACTTTCTCTTTAAAACCGAGCAAAAAAACCCCAAACCCAAAAAATCCACTGCTGTGGCTGGGGAAAAGCATTTACCAGAAAGTTGTAAAGAAGTTTTGTGTGTGAGAATGACCAAACGGACTATGATACACAAGTCAAAAAAGAAGCGCAAAGAACGAACGAAACGGAAAGGTAAGAATAAAACATATCACAGCCCTATCAATTTCGTCCAGTCTAAACCCCCTCCACACTTCTGGCTTATTACACAGACTTCACACTCCACCATCACCTATCAGGTAAACGGGAAGTTGAGAGCTTCAAAGAATCACAGAATGGTTTAGGTTGGAAAGGACCTTGAAGATCATCAAGTTCCAACCCCCCTGCCCTGGGCAGGGACACCTCCCACCAGCCCAGGTTGCCCAAGGCCACGTCCAACCTGGCCTTGAACACCTCCAGGGATGGGGCCTCAACAACCTCTCTGGGCAACCTGTGCCAGTGCCTCACCACCCTCAAAGTGAAAAACTTCTTCCTAATGTTTAACCTAAACCTGCCCTCTTCCAGTTTATAGCCATTCCCCCTCGTCCTGTCACTACATGCCCTAAAAGAGCTTAAGGACTGCAGGAAAAGGAAAGACTTCATCCTGGGACAGCACAGAAAAATTGTTCAGGGAAAAAGACTAAAGCCTGTTTTTTCAAGTATGACAACATACCCGCCTCAATGCGACAGCTTGACCAACAGCATCACACAAGCTACCGCCATCGGCGCAGTCCCTCTCACCACTCTGGAGGTCACAACCCTGGTGTGGATGTCCCCCTGGATCCTAACAAGGTGCCGACTGCAGCGGAGGTTTCCCCTCCTTCCTAATGCCATCAAGTATCTTGTTCCTCCTCCTCCGCTGAGCATCCTACTGTAAATATCTTCACAGCCGGGGGTTATCTGTCACCTTCCCGGGGTCAAGTAGGGGGGAAAAATTCTCTCGCAGTTTTGGCTCTTCACTTTGAATGCAGGAGTCTGACCGATTTTGATGCAGCTGGAGCACCATTCATCCAACTTTCCCAATGTAAAGCAACATCTATCTAAAGGCAACCACCTCTTCCTCCCAGTAAAAAAGCACCCTGCAAGTTTAAAAATCAACACTCAGCCACAAGGTTGAGATTCCAGAGAAATACAAGAGCACTCCCAGGTCCCTAAGTGTCAGCTGGTTGGATTTTAGCAACAATATCCTTTCTGTTTTCCACAGGCTACTCTTCACTGCTTTAACGTGGAGTACTTCCACGTCTAACCCAGCGAGAGCTGTGCTTGCCCAAGACACATTTAAATGGTCGTCCCCTTTCTGATGAAAAAAAGAGCCACATGCGAGTCCAGCACGACATCCAGCCCCAGCTGGTGAATCTGGGGACAAAACAGCACAAAGTGGTAAACGCCTCTGGCTCCAGCGGGTGCCTCCCCCCTCGTCCCGTTCCATCCCAGCGTCTATAAATCACTTCTGGCAGGTAGTTGGGAAGCAGCTGCTAATTATAGTTTTGCTGTGGAGTGCAGGAAGTCACCTTTTAACCCTGCCTGCTGTTGTTTGTCTCCCGGAGCCGGGACAAAAGGACAGACGCGGACAACATGCCAGCCGTCGGGAGGATCCGGTCAAAACGCAGCAGGGAACCTGCCCTGATCCCATACCGGTGAAATATCCACCCCCCTCAAAAACACCTTTTGGCTTCGGGTGCTTCCCTGTGCCCGTTTTCAAACAGCTTGATGCAGGACCTCAGTTTTCCCTCATTCACCCTAAAGATGCAGGGAAGCATCCCAAAGATGATTTCAATTGAGTCTGTTGCTCCTGTGCTGAGGATGTCCCACCTTCCACCCTCCTGCAGTCCAGTCCCCACCTGCACCGTAGGACAAGGACGGCGTTTATAATAGAACTAACACATGTACATGTGTGTGCGCAGGTGATTGTGATTGGAGCTGAGCAAATAAATTTCATAAGACAAAGTATTCGTTGCAAAGCATCTTGTTTTCGGTCCGTGGAGTATGTGTGATCAGATTAGAATTTCATCTGACTTCCCACACCCTCCCCGCCTTTTAAAGTGTGCGTATGTGGCAGGGAAAGTAGCTGCTTCTGCTTCAGGAAAGCTCCAAAACGCACTGTAGACATTATCACAAGTTAAATACAAGCAACTCACTCCTATTTAAGTCACCACTGGTTAGGTAGATGGCCCGCCACTGTGCCTTTCTCCAGCTGAAAAACACTTGTTTGAACTTTCTACGTTTCATGCACAGGCGAAACTCTTGTAAAGTTGGCTTTTGTTAACAACTGCAATTCAAAAATCTTACTTCCTTCAGTATGCACCTGCGTAGCAGCCACCTACTTGAGTTTGTGGGAAGCTTCTCAAAGAGAGAGAGAGGTATTAGGAGGTGTGCGCACCACTCAGACCATGCCATAGGAAATTTGAGTTATGATTCACTCACTTCTAGCCCTGACAACATCTGCTCTGCCACGCGTTTCATGTGGCGATGGGAAGCCAACGGAAAGCCAAGGCTTTACCTTCTGTAGAGGATGTACTTCCATCAAACAAAACACACCCACTGGCCAAACATGATGACGGCTGGGAGCCAACCCCGAGGCATAAAACAAAAATACCCTTTCCAACCTGACCATGTGAACTGGAGTGTAAAGAACTCATTGTAAAACAACATCGGTTGAGATGTACTTACTGTGAAGACATCATCATCGCCAACCTCGGCCTCGTTGTGAAGTGTTGATGAGGAAGTTGTAGACCCTGGGAAAAAAAAAAAAAAAGCACAACAGGTTTTTAAACGCATGGCACCCCTGTGTAACTACTTTTTTATTAAGCTGGTAAACATTTGCATTCTCACAACTTTGTACGTTGTCGATGTGTAAAAGAGTGGCTCGAATTAAGGAAGAAAAAACCATCTACTGGTAGCTGGGTTGGAAAGGTAAAATCTGAAAGTGTTTCTTGACACGCAACTGCATGGCTGCCAAAGCTAATTAACTATGTTAAAAATAGCAGTTAACATTTCCAATCACAGAAGACTTTCATTTCTGAAGAACGGTAAAGCTACATACTAATCGGAGCTCAAGACCAGATCCACAGCTGTCAGGAAACCATATACGAGTTGTTCTTCACATATTCCCTAAATCTGGGGGGAAAAATGACTTTTTATTTAAAAAAAAAAAACAAACCAACCCTCACTCAGACAATGAAGAGTTAGGTGGTGGGCAGCAGGGAGGGTGGCACACGCCGTGGCTGAACTTGGCAGTGAAGTTTATGCTGTGGCTAAAAGGGGGTGACCCCTCTCCCCATCCGAGGGTCCCAGACCCCCTTCCCAGCTGGCTTCAACCCCCCCACGAGGCTGCTAAGGAGCTGTGATGGGGGGAGAAACCCCAACTCAAAGGCATTTCTTTTTTTTTTTTTGATGTAAGCCCACTGTTACACGGAATTAGGGCTGCATCACATCCCTAACTAAAACAGTTGAACTGTTTGTACCACCTTCATTCTGGAAATTTTTTAAAATCATGCGCTTTATATAACGCTATCCGCACCAGCCTTGGCTGCTCTCAGCTGCATCATCACGGAGATGTGCAGAGCTAAGTGCGAAAGCCCACTTAAAACGCCAAGTAACACGAAAACATTCGTGCCATTTGCCACATTAGCTTTAAAAGCAAAAAATCCAGACTTTCTACAGAGCTGCAGAGGATTCCTACACCTGTGCACAAAACTTCTATACTTCTGATGCTACAGGGAACAAGCTATTGGTTAAACATTAATAGCAACGATTCTAATAAAGCAGTGATTTCATGAAGTGAAGCTTCAAATGCGCATGGTTTGTTGTGTTTCATTATTACCCACTAAGCTTGATCAACTACCTGAACAAAAAATGCACAATAAATGAAATCCTGTGCCTGATGCTCTTTGTGCACAAGCCAGTTATTGTTTTTCATTCAGAAAGCCTTATTTGGAAGTTAAGGAGGAACACATTCATGAGGATCCGTCTGTGCTGTTAATGGGATAAATATAGATTTGCTGATTTTGAAGTCTCTGAGATACAGCAGAACTTCATTTTAAATACCTCCACTGTAAAATGGATCAGAAAGAGCAGAATGGGAGTTGCCACGTAGCAGCATCTCCAAAATACTACTCAATACAGCTGAGTTATCGTCTCCTTGAAACTTCGCACAGTCCCATGCCACTTACATAAAACATCAGTTATGACTCAAAATGCTTCCCAGCTTTAGGAAGCCTGAAGAAGAAAGCAGAAGGCCTTCTTCACATTACTGGCACATGAAAAAGCAAACTAATAACCAGTTGAGAAGATCCTTCCTCTAACGGATGAGGTATTTACCAGGAAAGAGCTCCAGGGGGTTAATTCTCTCCCAGGATCTACCATTGCCATGTTAAAACAAGGAAAGGGCATCCAAAAGGTTAAGCTGTCTTATGGAGCTAACGTACTCGAAAAGAATACACATCTGTATATATATTTGAGCTAGTATCCTCAAAAAATAGTATTATTTGTATATAAAAATATCCTGGACACACCGGGTGAGAAGGAGAAAGGCTTTTGACCACTGAATTCTTACATAAAGTGGCATGGTCAAAAAAAAAAAAACAACCAAACACCAATCAAAAAACCCAGGAAAAATCAAATTTCATTAAAATAAAGTACTATTGCATTATAGCTGTATTATGATTGCCTGATTGCAATGAAATGTGAAAAAGAAAGATTTATGACAACTTCAAAGCACGGGCAATTCAAATGCATTTTTTTACAGAATTAAAAAAAACCCAACAAAACAACAAAAACACAACAAAGTCTTCAAGAACTACCATTCAACTAAGAGGATGCAGACAAAACTAATTACTGCAAAAAACAACCCCAAACAAAACAAAGTTTTACTCAACTCCAGGCAGGAACTCATACCACGATTTAACAAAGATTCAGTAAAATGAGACTGTGTATAAAGAAGATCCTGGGCTGTCTGAGTTGCCATCACTAGCGTGGTACCCAAGTCTATCCAAAAAAGTCCTAATAAGAGACTAGATGATAAGGAGAGGAAGTCTGGACAGACCAAGCCAGACAGGATTGGAAAATACTTGGGACTGAAATCCCTTCTCTCCTTAAGGGATGAGAAAACTCAGTTCTTAAAAGTAAGCTGGGGCTTGCTCAGCACAAGGTAAGCGCCCGGCTACACTTGGACACGCGCACTTTAGACATCCAAGCCCAAGAACTGATTTTAAACCCACTCCTCTTCCCAACTCCGTGCTTCAAACCCCCCTTCCCCACTCTCCGGAAGGTGGAATTGGCCTCTGCCATGCACCACGGTACCTTCAATGAGGTCCTCGATGGCTTTCCTCACTCCTCTGTCGAAGGCTCGAGCGTCGGCGGGGCTTTGAAAAGTGAGCCCGAACTTTCTGTTGTCAACTTTCCAGTGGTGGAAGGTGGGGTTCGCCTTCGTGTACACCAGGTCCTTCTTCACAAAGCACTCCAGCACCACCTGGGAGGGCACGAGCCCCAAAAGAGGAGCAAAGTCACTTTTCCCACCCCAAGGACACAGCCGGCACCATCTCAGCCCAGACCCAAAAGCAAGCCAAGTCACGCCTCGCGTAGGGGAACATCCTTCCCTACCAAACGATGACTAATAAACACCAGACACTGTCATTGTTCTCACAGCCATCACACATCCATCTCTTGCTTGTGCTTTGAGTAGGTGCCTCCTCGCTATCCCAGGAGGCTATTTCGGACCCAGGCCCAGTGTGGCACAGGTTACAGGTAGCGGAGGCCCAGGTGGAGGGAGAACCTCTTCCCTCAATAATTTTGCTCAACAGAAACGTTATTCGCCAGCAGATCTAGGAGGTGCTGGAATAACACCCTCACCCTTTTTTTTCCTCCCTCACCCCCAGCCAGGCACTCGTCTCAAGCTTCTCTGTGCCAAAAGCCATCTCTAGGGCGATGTTCAGGGAGAACAGGAATGACTTGTAGGTCTTACCTCGTCCCCCAAAACCCTAAGCATGGCTCCAAAAGTGCCACAAAAAAAAAAAAAGGCATCCTAAGCAAAACAGTATTGCAAAAGACAAACTGGACTTGAAACACCAGTCTTTTTGAAAGCAACATCATGTCCGACTCAAATAATGCTTTTTTTTGTTTGTTTGTTTTTTGCCCAAATGCTGAGTTCGCAGAGCCTGCACAGGGAGCGTATTTTTAAGCTAGCCCATCTCTTCAAAGGAGCGAATTTCAGAAGGATCAAATATATAGAAACGAGATAACACCTAAAATGGACCCTGGAAATAGGGAAAAGACTTTATTAATTTGATTTGTGCGGGGAAAGAAGAGAGCTCCTTTTTAGATAAACGGCTACCGGGAGAAACCCACTGCGTCAATTCATAAGAGACAACTTGTCTTCATAGTCTCACTCTGCTCGTTCAAACCTTGAACGGCACGCAGCATAAATAATTCATGGCCGTTTTAAAGGTTTGCACTGCATTACTCAGTGCAATGTGACTGGCTTCAAGGGTTCTTTACACTTCAATTCACTTCTCATGTACCTCTGCTAGGTCTTAAGAAAAAAAAAAAAAAACAAAAAACCAAAAAAAACGGGCCCTTTCTCAATCATCAAAGGGAGTCTTTGCACACGGATGTTGAAAATTTACCTGCTCCTTCCAGGTGGCAGCACGACAACCCAGATAGCAAAAGATGGTAACTCTGAGGTAACTGAGGATGGGTTTGTTTTGCCCAATCTGGTACTATTTGCACATGTCTGGTTTTTTATTTAAAAAAAAAAACAAACTTGCACAAGAATACAATAGCAATAGGCTCGGGATAATTCTCATTATAAGAACAGACAAAAGTTGAATTAGGTTCTATTACCAGTTTGTCTTTCTGCCTTTCACCATGGATTAGAAATCCACTTCTTCCATTGCCCTCCGGGTACGTGACCTTGCAGACGCCAACTCTACTGAGACCGCCTCCTTCTTGTGGCAACCATCCCCCACTGGAGTCATCTCGGGTCATAACCACAGCTTTGACTCGCACAATATAGCTGTCACTGCAATGATAACAAAACAAAAAACAAAACAAAACCTTCTGTGAGCATCACACCATCTCTCCGGAGCGTTTTTCTTGAAGGTGGTATTTAGGCAGCACTGGTCTGGTCCCAACACACAGTTTCTGCCCAGGATGGAAGTCCACCTCTGTGATGGATGATCTTAACCACTCAAGCCACCATAGGAAAGACACCCATCAAACAGCAAGGGAATGGCTCTGTTGGTCTTCCAAATACCAACATACAGACCAAACATGGTCCCAGACACCCTGCACCTCATACAGTTGGGGAGAGGGACCGAGAAAGCAGGGTAGCCACGCAGCACCTCAATACCCCCACCCACACAGAAATGTTTTGGGGCATTGCATCTCTAAAGTGTTGGAAGAACATGTAGAGCTCAAATAACCCACGAACAAAGTGTTTCAAGGTTTTTGCGATCAATTTAGTGAAGAGGGCTTTGGAAGATGACACTTAAATCCATCTGCAACTGGGACAGCCTTAGGGGGAAAAAAACCCCACAAGCGTGGCTCCATCTGGTACCTCAGATGAAAGGAGATGGGAATCATCTCAGCTGAGGTCAACAGGACCACACCACGTCACTAGAAGAGCTCCACCAGCATTTCAAGGGGCTTTCAAAAGCCGCACGTCAAAACCTGACACGAAGCTATCCTAAAAGCACCTGAGATATTTGGGGATAATCCAGGTGCCCATCACAAGGGGTCAAAAGAGTCCCTGCAAGCAGGAGGCTCTCTCTGCTTCCCCAGGCCACCTCCTATACCCTTTCCACAGAGCAGTTGCTCCAGCATCTGCTGGGGACATCACCAGGCAGTGGGCCATTTGGGAACAGAAAGGCCACTACAGGATGTAAGCAAAAGCCGTGCACCTTGTACGGGACACACAACAAACTCCAAGCTAAAACGGGTTATCCCCAACCCAGAGCTTCTGGGAAATACCAAAATTCGGTTTTCCATCCTCACGCTGCTGCTGAGTCCCAGCTCGGTGTAACCCGTCACACGTTAAGACATCAATTAACCCGGTGACTGCCCAGGAATGGCACCATGGCATGGTTAGATGTCAACCATGCACAACCACAGCACTGCCGGCTGCAGAGCTGCCCAGACACCCACCAGTGCCTGCAAAGGTGCCACAGGGCACTCAAACCTGGGCAAACCCAGGAACATCAATGGGGCTAAGAAAATAGACATGCAAAGAAAATTGCCAAGGAACTATTCACCTCCAGACCACCAGGTGAGCTCACCAGAAGAAAGCTCAACCCGCAGAGGGCTCTGAGAAGAGATCTTTCAAAACGACTGGTATCATCCTTTAGGGGACGAGAACAGGCCCTTTCTATCCGAAATTACAAGCAGCAGTAGCTTTCTTCACCCTGCACCAGGTAAAACAGCCTCTTCTGTCCAGACAATATTTTTGCATCACTTCAGTAATCCGAGTGCTAATATTTGAAGTCTGAGGTTCCCTTTCTCTAATACAACCAGATTTTATTTAATACCTAAGCAAGCAGGCTCACGGATCCTACTTGAAGGCAGTTTTGAGGACAGACCAAGGGAGGTGGCAAGCATCTTCTGGGCAGAGGTGCCCAGGACCAGCTAATCCCTTCCGCAGCTGGACAGACCTTGCAAAACACACACCGCCTTTCTCCCTTCACTGGCTTTATTTTATGGACACACCAACTTTCTCACTGGACCTACACGATGGAGACAGTACAAAGATGCTTAAGGTTCATCCCCCACTGCTCTGAGGACCTTGCACTGGCTGATAAAAAGCTTTTCACCATACTCAGATACGCGTCCCGTACCACAGCCGACACGTGTAAGGCATTCACAGAACTGAGAAACAACATTTTAAAGAATATTTTTGCTATTGAGTCCTTAAAGCAGCATCCTGGTACAGGAAACGAGGCAAGCGCGTCTATAAACAGATCCAGTTACCTTTTTATTTTCTAATGAAAACCCCATTTCCAGATTTTACCAGTGGCAACTTTAATCTCCTGGCTTCCTGATGCTCAAAATCAAGCAAAATACTTCAGCTAATTTCCTACTGTGTAAAAATCGAGCTGCTTCCATCCAAGACAATTTTTGCTTTCTTCTCTGTACCTTTCCTGTGTGGTCTATAACAATTAGCAATTAACAGATAAAGAAAAAAGAAAGCCAACTATACATTTCTATATAGTCATCCTGTTCCCCAAGCATCCTTTCTGGACTTATTTTTAACTCTTCTCACTTCTGGGGCACTCCCATTAAATTTCAAACTCTCTTCTGAAGTCAGAGCTGCTCAACACGACCTTCCTTCCCATCCTCCCGCAAAAGTCATCCACACGAACTGCTGCTTCTCCTTCCATGCTTGAAAATTGCTACCGGCAATATAGCTTCCTGTGGGATTTACCATTCAGTTTTACAGCCACAGCCGGAGCCTTCGGCTGTCCCAAAGGTAACGTTGTCTTCAGTTAATCTGCTGCAGGAATCTTCCACTTAAAGAAAAATTAAGAAAGCAGCAGCTACTCAGTACTTTGTGATTTCTACCAACTATTTGTGTGTTTCCATCACCTCTCAGTGATTTCTCTAGGCTCATAATCACGTTTGAAAACTTGTGGATGATTACACATTAAATTTAGGTCCCTCAGCTACTATCCCTGCCCATTATAATCACACTCTGCCGGGACACAGAGCCATACGGTTTTCATCAAATGGTTTAGGTGTGAAGGGACCTTGAAGATCACCTAGTTCCAACCCCCCTGCCCTGGGCAGGGACACCTCCCACTAGACCACAGAATGGTCAGGATTGGAAGGGACCTCTGGAGATCATCTAGTCCAACCTAGTTTGCTCAAAGTTCCATTTAACCTGGCCTTAAACCCCGCCAGGGACATGGCATCCACAGCTTCTCTGGGCAACCTGGGCCAGTGTCTCACCACCCTCAGAGCAAAGAATTTCTTCCCAATCTCTAAACTAAATCTGCCCTCTGTCAGTTTAAAACTGTTACCCCTTGTCCTACCGCTACATGCCCTTGCAAAAAGTCCCTCTCCAGCTCCTCATCTCCAGCCCCTCATCTTCATATCCACACCAATGCTGTGACCTACGGCTCTTACAACCTCTGCCACCAATTTCATCTACATGTCCAGCAGCTCTACGACTAGATGTGACACCTATTAGGGGAAAAGACAGGTGCTTTGTTAACTCAAAACTGCTGCTTCTACTTTTGAGTGGCATTTTTTGGAAGTCAGCATCCTCCCCCCAGAGATGCCTGGTGTGCCCGATTCAAGCTCTGGGAGACGGGTGAGAAGATAGACAGGATTTGGACCAGGTCTTGGCAGTTGGCATCCGCCTGCATCCAAGATGCTACTGTGATGCCCCAGGGTCAGGGACTGGGGGGGCAAATGGGTGGGAAAACAAGCTGGAATAGCACTTTTTTTGACCCAAACGGGGTAATTTGCTTTAATGGGAAGTGGATGGATAATTTGCTGGCTTTTCAAGAATATATTAAATAATATGAACATAAAGGAACCCGAGCGTAAAGTGAAAGAGGTTAAAATTTTACTCCTTTCCTCATTATTCACTACATTCATCTGTCTGCCCCAAATACCCAGCAGAACACCGTATGAACTGCATTTCTCCCAACCTGAAGAACCACCTCCTGAAGTACATCAAGCCAGAAAAGCTACTTTCCCGTTCCCTACCACGGCAAGAAGACCTCTGCTCCCCTATTAGGAAAGGACCTTGCCCAGCAGAAGGGTTCACCTTTGGCAAGGTAAGCTCTGGCTCCGTTAACGTCATCCCTTGGCACGCTTTCCTGTATGACCAAAAGTCACCGGTGACGTTGCGCTCCCTGGAGAGCCCCATCCCTGCTCCCACCCAGGAGCCACGTGCAACCTATGCCAAAGGATTTAGGGAAAAGAAAGAAAAGAAAGAAAGAAGGTGGTTAATGCTTCTTGGGGCTCGACAGCTTGGTTTAGTCACTGGACCAGGACTCAGAAGCTGCACGTTGAATTTTCAAGGCAATGCGCCGCTTCCTTCAGTTTTCTCTGTCAAAATCTTGCCTGCCGTTTCCAACCGCAAGCCTAGAATAGGCAATGCTTCTTTCCCTCATGCCAGTGTTGATAAATACTTGGGAGGTACTCAAATATTTCAGGTCCATATAAGGTCCTCGCTTCCTTCGCGTAAAAGCTCTTTATTTTCTGTGCTATTTAATTTTACGCGACTGCATCGAGGCTCTGGCTGGTTGCAAGGGCTCAAAATCCTCCGCTGCGAAGGAGCCATCAGCAAATCCCACGCGCCTGTCACTGCTTCGGTGGACCGAGGTTTTGGGAGCAAAACCACCACCTTTCAAGTCAGCCCCCCTACACTTTTATCACGGCAACTGTGCAATTTGACTGTTCCCGAAGAAATGGTTAATGAGGTACATGAAAATATTTGGGCCGTTCCCATTAATGAGATACCGATTGCCGCTGAGATTAGATAACACAAGTCTTTCATAGGGTTAAAAATGAAGCAGCTAAAAAAATAATACCCGCAGTAGCCTTAGTTCCCCTCCTTTTTATTGGCTTCTTAAACTTTAAGACCGCTCTAATTGTCGGGTTTATGGCCTACGCGCTCCGCGTTTCATGCAAACTACTCTTAATTATGCTCTTAAATGGAATACTTTGCTATCTTAACCCTACAGATTTGTCTTCAGCAGCCTTAAAAGCTTGGGAGGAAAAGTATCTGGAGGGATTACCCAGCTGCATGGCAGGCGGCCAGCGTGTTCCCGGGGCTGCTTCAGGTTGTCAGCCCGCCCCACCCAGAGCCAAAAAAACCATAATGAACTTGGGGAGCAAAGGTAGCGCCGAAAACCACGCGCTTGTTTTTATTGGAAGGAAAAGGAGCTTTAAAAATTATAGCTCGTGGGTGTGCATATATATATATATATATAAAAAAAATAAAAATAAGAGCATGTGTACATAACTGCTACTCCGAAGGATATTGGTATTTTTCCTAAACAAGAAGT